CCACACGGGGCCATTCCTGAGGAGAGCTCCTGCGAGATCTACCTGGCCATCAGCCACAGGGAGTGCAGGTGAGAGCACCCGTCGGGATATGGGATCTGGGATATGGGATATGGGATATGGGGTATGGGGTATGGGATATGGGATATGGGATTGGGATATGGGATATGCGATATGGGATATGGGATTGGGATATGGGATATGGGATATGTGATATGGGATCCCAGATCTGGGATCTGGGATTGGGATATGGGATCCCAGATCTGGGATATGGGATATGGAATATGGGATATGGGATATGGGATTGGGACAGAGCTGCACGAGTCACTCCCATCCCCACTGTCCCCACCGCTCATGGGACCCTTCAGGGACACAGAAATGGCCTCGGAGCGCTGCTCTGAGAATCCACAGCAGAACTGGAGATGCTGCTGAAGGAGACGGTGCCTKCTGCTCCCTCTCCCCCCCTGCTCAGGCTCTGGGGGTTGCTTTGATTTCTTTTTTAGCCTGAGAATGCTACAGACACTTGGAGGCACCGAGGCTTCAGCAGAATTTATTATTGTGACACTCGAAAAAGAGAAAAAAAAAAGAAAAAATTGGCCCTTTTTGTTACCCTGTTGTGTGGGGATTTTTATTTTTTTTTCCCCTGCAGTCTGGCTCTCACCAAGGTTTTACACACAGACTGCGGGGAGGGGCTGGGACATTCCGAGCCTTTCTTTAGCAGGAACGGTGTTTGAAAGTGAATTTTGTGAGCACCCACAGAGCTGGGGCTGGAACCGGAGGGGTTTGGGCCCCCCAAGAGCCCCGGACACTGCAATGGGGTATCCAAGTCAGCTTTTGATATCTTGGTTTTATGATTGTATCTTATTTATATTTTGATTGAGGTCCTTTCCCTGATTTTTCTCTTGGTTGAGGTCCTTCCCCTGATTTTTCTCTTGGCTGAGGTCCTTTCCCTGATTTCTATCTTGGTTGAGTTCCTCTCTCTTATTTTTTTTACCTTGGAAATGACATTTGCTGTAATTTGAAGGGGGACACTGCATGCCCAGTAACTCAGAAGCCAACAATGGGGTCACACAACCCCAGTGGATTAAAATACAACCAAACAGCAAAAAAACAGCTGTTTCAGTGCCCAAATGAGTGTCCTGTGCACTGCTCCTGCCCTCGTGTTCATCCCAAGGGATGTGGAGCAATTCGGGATTGGGCTGGGTTAAATTGTTGGAGTGGGAAAGAAGAAAAGAAGATTTTTTTCAGAGATTTCACCTCTGTAAC